TTTTAAATATTAAAATGTCATGATTTTCCACCTCCTCCCATTATTTTCAGATTTTTTTTTTCAAGGTTGTGGACAAGAAAAATGTGAGAATCTGTGGGCCTTATTGTCGAGGCAAGCGCAAGCAGGTCGGCCGGCTAGAATTTTTTCGCATCTTAGCTTAGTGGAGTATGGGCCCAATTTCGTTTGTCATTTTGTACAGCTTCTTAAGCCTGGTTTGGTGTAAACTTTTTCCATTTTCACATTAAAAGAAAAAGGAATTTTGCCACATTTCTTAGGCTAGATTTAACAATTAATTCAATTTTAATAGATTATAATTTATGTTGGTATCTGGCACTTGTTTCAATTCCTTTTAACAAATTGGTTTATTTATTTGGCTACAGCCAAAATAGTTTTTTTTTGTTTGTACTAATCCCCGTTATCCAAAAACTATACTGGACCCTAATTAATCCGAAATCAAACTGGATCGGACCTCATATGGGGAGAAACTCTTCCAGCGTCTATTTTTTCATTCATAAGACTCGAATTCAAGATTTTATTTGAAAAGAACGGATCTCTTTCCACCCGAACTAACAAATTGTTAGTACAACTTAAATGGTTTGGTTGGTAGGGAATCGGGATTATAATAAATGGGCTGTTCCTTGCTATTTACACTTAATGGACCTGAGCCTTAAACAACTTTGGACTGTCAGCATTATCAAGAAAAAAAGAAAAAGACAAAAAAAAATATCAGCCTTGAAGTTGAAAGCAAAATTGAGGGACTGGAAGTATTGGGCTCAGACTTTTAGTTCGACGTTGAGGAACGAAATAGTACAATCTGGGCTGCATGTAGCCCCAATCCAGTTGCAGAAATCGTCAGAATGGGCCCATCTATTAAAATAGATAAATCCTATGAAAAAAATTATAGATTCAAACAACAACCTGAGATTTAAATAAAAATCAACCAGATTTAGGATACGTTTTGATTTTTTTTTTTAATATGAAATACTAAAAATGTTTATTTTTAGTAGTTTAGGAACACCCATTTCAAAAAATAATCATATAAGATTAACATTGTTTTTAACAAAGCATTTTCAACAAATCCTTAATGGTCAATTGGTTTACGACCCAAACGTAAGAGTTGAAGATCGTCAAATCAATCAGCGAGCTAAAGATTCATCCTTATAATTAAATTTAAAGTACAACTTACTCCAACATTTCTAATGTTCAAAAGAAAAGAAAGGGGCTTCAAGAGTCATGGATGTTTTTGTTTTGGTTCAATGGATTAAGGATAACTTGAGATGATGAAAAGCAGGAGGCCATGCCATTTTAGGAATAGATTAATATATACAAAATTATAAGTAACAAAGACAAAAGGCAAAAATAATAATAAATTATAGAATTTCACTAGAAGAAGAAACAATCACACAATAAAAGACATGATTATTGCCACCTTGGCTTTTGTTAAGGCCACTCAAAAAGTGTAATAACTATGTTTGTTTTAACTGATTTTATTAATTTATAGTTTCACAATTAGTTATGGTATTTAAAAACAATAGTTCATATATAAATTTTAATTTTAAGTAATAAATATTAATTATTTTATTAACTAATAATTATAATTATTAATTATATTTAACATTCAGACACTATTTTAAATGATCTTAACAAAAAGCCGGTGGCTATAGCCTTTCCCCACAATCAATGGAGAAGAAACTGCAAATCGGGAAATATGATTTGATTGATATGCCTGCAAAACTTGCTCTAGGGTTTATACATGACTTGTGTTTTTATATTTTGATCCAACATCCTCAAGTTACCCCGTTTTGGAATCTGAACCAACAAATAGGTCGCCATTTAGACATTACAAACTGGAGACGAAACCAACACGCATGGGATCGATCAAAACTTGTTCAAAACAACAGAAGGTTCTCATATATTTTCCTTAAGAACGACTGAGTACATGTGGTAATGACTTTATGTCGTTGAATGGGTCATCTATATTATATATGTGTGTGTTAACCATATGATTTTCGACCGAGCATTAATTTTCTCTGCATCATTTGTTTTTCTAGAATAACTCCTGAGTTGACCCCCTTTTTTATTTTTTGAAAATTGCCATTAGACTTATTTTTGGGCTAATTTAAGAGTTGTATGATGTACCAAATTAAAAAAAAAAAAAAAGAAAAGAAAAAAGAAAAGAAAAGAAGTATTGCATTACCATATGTGTCACGCCAAGCCAACGTAGCAAGTCAATCACATTTGTTGTATGGCCAGCATTATATGTGAACCTGATGGCTGACGCATGAGACTACCCGGGTAGAAAAGGAAAATTCATTCATTGTTGCTTTAAAAGTTATTAGTGTCAACGAATTAAATAGTTTAGTGGTCATTTTTTTTTATTGAAAATAATAAATCATAAATTCGAATCGTATGATATGCAGTAGGATGTGATAAGAAATGAGAGACAACAACCTCTTATTATATAATTAAGATAAAAAAAATAAAATTACTAGTATACCACAGCCGGGCGAGGTCACATCACTTTTCATGTTACGTCCTCTACAAATTATATGTGAATTTTTAAATAAAAAATTAATTATATAATAATTTATTAAAATTTTATAGAGTTTACGTGATACTATAATTAAAATATTATTTTTATAATTAAAGTTTAAAGTCCACAATGATAGTTTGAAAAAAAAAAAAAAAGAGTTATTTCTTTTTTCTTTTGGTAGAAAAATGTTATTTTTGACAGCAGTTTCTGCAATTGCATTGACAAGCATGCAAATAGTTTATTTACGTCGAAGACCAGAGCTGCACTTCACTTAATTTTACAATAAATTATATATTCTAAATCGATTACACAACACCTCAAGTTATACTATACTTGTAATTATATATTAGCAGTCAATATCTTACTAAAGTCAACATAACTCTTCTAATTACTTGATCAGAAAGGAATAGCAATTAATAGAAAAATTATTGGAACATATTTCATTCAATATATTTTTTGACATTTGTTTTGGTTCAATTATTAAAATGTAATATAAATACAACTTGATTAATTGATTCTTACATTCTATATACATAATTGCATTTTTAAATTTATGTCTTTAATTTCAAATAAAAAATAATAACTTTTTAATAAATATGTTGAATTGAATTGTGTACTAATTAATGTCTTAATTAATAAAGTAATATTAGGCATCAATGACATATAATTCCATTAGTTGCCCCGTCAAAGAAAAAAAAATTCCATTAGTTGCAAGTTAGACTTTATATTTTGGTTTATGATGAAGACTTTTCATATAATGAAGAAAAAAAAAATTCTTATATAGTTATTAACAAGGTATCTGAGTTCTTAATAAAGGTTGAAAACCAGAAACTTTGAAGCTGCAAGTTTGAAATTTTGTATATCAAGGTATATGTGCTTGTTCCTCTTATACTATCTCTTTAAGATTGTATTTGTACTGTGCAAAATGAATGTCATATATAATATTATAATATGAATATATATATATACATTGATTTAGATCATATAATGAGAGACAATTTTTTCTCATTTTTAAATTTATTTTGTCCGTATAACATATAATTTAAATTTAAAATTTCTTATTTTTATTAAAATATTATTATCATTGAATTATGTAAATTATTGACATGTAATATGAATCAAGTAATAAGTCTAATTCACAAAAATGGAAAAAAAAAAAAAAGAGGAGAAAATCTTGTATATGTGTGGATAAGAATAGATGTATATGTTTGGTCAAAAGAGGAGAACTCATTTGAGAATTTCATGGTATGATCAGGTCATGATTCATTCATTACGAAAATAATTTCATTGTATGATCAGGTCAGGATTACAAAAATATTAGTATGATCAGGTCAGGATTACAAAAATATTAGTATTTAAAGAATCAAGTTGCCGGTCTCATTAATTTTCTTTAATTAGAACGATTCATCCAATCAGAAAATAAAAAAGAAATAATATTTAATTTGATTTTCTGGCATCAAAATCTGAATAATACACTTTTTTCTGTGTGACATTCAAACCTCCAAAATGTCCCGCCGCCAGCTACCGGAAACTAGAAAAAAAGGTATGCTTCGTAGATTCCCATTCCAAACGTTTACCTGGCCCCGGTGGCTGCTTCAACCTTCAAGTTCTCCAATTGCGGCTTACCTAAAAACTAAAGCCTAGAAACAGTGGACTAAGCTTAAATCTAAAGGTACGGCCTGAAAAGGAAAGGTTAAAATTTCATCTTGGTCTATTTACTTTAATTGAAAGTCATTTTTAGTTCCTAAAGTTTATTATCTGACTTTTTTTGGTTTTTTTGTTATTTTTTTACACATATGACACATTAAATAATAGAAATTTTAAAGTAGAAAGACTAAAAATGAAAAACTAAAAAATGACTAAAAAAACTCCATTTTGATCCCTTTATTTAAAGAAAAAATTTTGATCCCTTTATTTAAAGAAAAAAAAACCTATTTTTAATCCATTTACTATATAATTTTTTTTATTTAATGTGCTATATATACAAAAAGATAACCGGAAGGACTAGAAAAAAGTTGGATAATAAATTTTAGGGATTAAAAAAGAGTTTTTTTTGCTAAAGTAGAGCTATTAAAATGAAGTTTTAACCAAAAAGAAAAACCTAAACAAAATCTATTGGTCAAATTAAAAACATTAAACACCTAGGCTCAGTCTTGTTTTTCAACCATAACCAAGCCAAGAACGGAGCTAGACTTTTGAGGGGGGCAAATTTCAAAATTTCTCAAAGTCATGAGAAGTTTGCATCAATATAACTTATATTAATTTTTAATCATCAGTTATTTGATTAGATAGTAGAATTATGTGTTTTGATAGTAGAATTATGTGTATTTTTAATTACAGGTTTGTAGTTTGATTTATAATTTTTACATAAAAAATATTAATTTTTATATTAATCACTAATTTTATGTGTAAATGCACTACTTATAACATACATACCAACTTTTAAATTAATTAGATATATTTAATTATTTTAGAATAACATATGATTTAATACCCTTAAATCAATAATATAAAATAATGAACAAAATGTTAATGAGTTGGATTTGTAAAAAATTATGCAAAAAAAAAGGTTCAAAATTATATTATTTTAATAAGCTCTAATTAAAATAAAGAGACTAAAATAACATATTTTTAGGATAAGAATGAAGACTATATTAATATTTTTTTCATAATATTTTATTAAAACATCCTAATTTTGAAGTATTTTTCACCTAATTTTTTTTGTAAGTTTAGTGAACAAATACTAATATCATATAAAATATAGTTTTTTTTTTGATATAGTTACATATATCAATAAACTTTAAATTAAAATATTAAATTTAACTTTTGAATTAATAAAATATAAATTAAATAAAAAGTACAACTGATATAAAAATTTTTTCATACCTAGATAAAATTATTTATTTTAAGAACTGATTACAAAGAAAGAAATGGTCCATTTACCTAACTCTTAAATATTTTCTTTAAGTTTAAAATGATCATTGTAATTCAAACATCAAAAACAAGTTTTATACTAAATAGAAATTTATGTACTGTATTAAACATTTTTCAAAAGTTTAAGGAGGACGGCTGCCCCCCTTTTCTTGTGGTACCTCCGTCCCTGAACCAAGTCCAATTAAATTACCCACAATAATCTAGTGCAATGATACCATCTCGAGTTCCCGTGTATGTTATTTTTTTTAGATTGTGTATTTGTGCTTAAATGGTAGGTAGAATCAATATTGTGTATACTTCTATTTGTTTTTCACAGTACCTAAAAAACATATTTAATTTCTCTTTAATCTAGCATGTAGGAACTCAAGATTAAGAAATTTATAATGATTTACTTCCTCATAAACCTAACCAAAAAATCAAATTTTAATAAGTAAAATGGAAAATAATCTCTTTTACCAACTCTTTTTTTATTGGTTTTTCCCAAATTACCACATTAAGAAAACATTCCTTTTAAGAAATAAATAAATTTATCGTTAAGATACTAACTATATAATTTTCATGATATGATTTTGATAAGATCAATTATAATTATAATTTTTACATACTGAAATTATATATAAAATTTCAATTTTATTGAGGACGTGATTTTTAAGTTACAAAAAAGTTGATCCGCGTATTTATATCCTCCCCTCCGGTCAGACCCTCCATGAATATATTTCCGGAGCTTCCTTGCTTCAACTTAGCATTGTTAAATCATATATCATGAAATTCAGGAGGCGTTCTCATGAAATGCCCGATTCCCGGCTGGTTGGCCGGTTTAAGTCTCCGATGGTGCCTACCACCATACTCTCTGTTATATTGATCTACTTCCTCTTTACAGATAGTATGGTCTCCAACTTTTCTTTGAAACTCATAGCCTTGAATACTAAAGAAGAATCTGACGTGTTTTTGGGTCAGAAAATTGAAAGGAAAATCAAATCTGTTCTCCCTGTCATTCCCCTGAATTCTGCGCAAGAAGAGGTTGTTAATGAGAGTCAGAGCTCTCTGATTCCACCGGCAAATGTCAGGGGAGGACAGAGGGTTGCAGGGTTCAGATGGAAGCTGCCAGAGTCTGAGATTTTCAGGTCAGACAAGTTAACGGCGAGATTCCACGGCCGGGTTCTGAAATTCTTCAACCAGAATTGCGATGTTCAGTTCTTCATGACTTGGATTTCACCGGCGGAGTCATTCAGGAGTAGAGAAATGTTAGCCGTGGAGAGTGTTTTCAAAGCACACGCTGACGGATGCCTGATGATTCTGTCAAGAACCATGGACTCAGAAATTGGTTACAGGAAGCTGAAACCCCTGCTTGACCATGGATTCAGGGTTCTTGCAGTGGCGCCGGACCTGTCGTTTCTGTTCAAGAACACGCCGGCAGAGGGTTGGTTTGATGAGATGAAGAAAGGGAACAAAGACCCTGGTGGGATTCCATTAGCTCAGAATCTATCCAATCTCATCAGGCTTGTAGTTCTATACAAGTATGGAGGAATATATATTGATACAGATTTCATTGTCCTGAAAAGTTTAAAGGGAGTGAAGAACTCAATTGGAGCACAGAGTATGGACATGGTGTCCAAGAATTGGACAAGATTGAACAATGCGGTTCTTGTCTTTGACATGCACCATCCACTTCTGTTGAAGTTCATTGAGGAATTTGCCTTGAATTTCAATGGAGATAAATGGGGATACAATGGACCCTATCTTGTTTCCAGGGTGGTCAAGAGGGTGGAAGGAATGGAGCCTGGTTACAACTTCAGCATATTGCCTCCAGTGGCCTTCTATCCTGTTGATTGGCACAAAATAGTAAGGCTTTTTAGGATGCCTAAAACGCCGGTCGAATCCAGATGGGTAAAAGCTAAGCTGCTTCAACTAAGTGGGATGACTTATGGGGTTCATCTATGGAACAAGCAAAGCAGCAGATTGGCAATTGAAGAGGGAAGCGTGATGGGAAGATTGATATCAGAACATTGTGTTATCTGTCAAAAGATATATAGTTCTTAACTGAGAGATTGCAGGGTAAGAAGTCTCTCCCATTTTTCCTTCATTTTTGCATTGATCATCTTCCCAATGTACATAAGATGTTAACTTGATAGGGTTTAAATCCTGAGAATATTCTCTGTAATATAACTCATCATCAAATCAAATCAGGAAAAAAAAATTAATATAGAATTGTAAATGATTGTCTCTTTTACAAGTAATGAAAATGATAATTACAGAGGCTGAAGAATAGAATCAGGAAATTCTACCACAAATCATAATCCTAAACCTTCTCAGCCTCAACCTGAATCTAAATCTACTTAGTCTCCTGAAATTAAAACCTGGCAGCCTCCTGAAAGACTTCTTCCTGGTTAATATCCTGTTATTCATTTTCTTCTTCGTCTTCTGGTTCTCGAATTCTGTGGTAATGAAACTCCCAGCTGAAGCAAATTCAGTTTGACTGGTAGACCCAAATTTTTTCGAATTCTTCCTGATTTCTTCCCATGGATCACCAGTTTCTCCATCTGTATCACTATCCCACAAAGGTACGGTTTCTATTATTGGAAAAACACTGTAATCGTGAAAATAGGTAGATAAACTAGTGTGTTCAATGTCAAACAACCTCTTCAGGGACGTGCTTCCGCCTTTCATGAGTTCCATTAAACTGCTAGTTGTCCGAGATGAAGAGGAAGCAGCTGAGGAAGACAGGGAGGACGAAGACGACGAAGAAAAATACCGAGCTTTCTGGTATGCTATAATCCGCCTGAGGCTTTCCTTCTGAGCTTCATAATTGATGGTACAATTGTTATCTTCATCATTCTCTTCTGTTATTTCCGATGTCGCCATAAACTTTTCCCCACTTAACAGACTCCCTTCAGGAATGGAAGAAACTTTGTTCCTATGAACAGAGGAATAGACCAGAGGAAGATCCAAAATGCCTGAAACTTGCAGAAAGAAAGGCAAAAACTGGCCATGATTTTTCCTTTTGTTGTTTGTTTCTGAGGCAAGATAAGCTGCATATGGACAACGGTAGAATACAAAGGAGGGTGGACTTTCTTTGTGTTATAGTTAATTGGATGATTATCCTGATAGCATAATATTTCCACTAATGACATAACCCTTTTCCTTGCATTCCAATGAAAAAAAAAATGGAAAAACAAGAGAAAGAAAAACTCAAGCAAGAAAAAATTGCTGTAACTTAACCTAATCTGGGCCTCAAAAAGTCTATTTATTTAAAAAAAAAAATTATGCGTTACATTAAATACAGGCACTACCCAGGGCTCCATCCTGGTTCTGCTGTTGAATCTAATAATGGAAAAACAGTACAAGCACAGAAGCAGGAAGACTCCTTTCTTTTTTTCATTTTTTCATTTTTTTTATGGTAACAGTCAATTAAGATATAACTTTGGGCATGATGAGATTTGCTTAAGGATCATTTCGGGTAAGCATCAACGTTTTAAATTGTTTAATTTCAGTCACTTTATGCAATTATAAGTTGGAATATCGTCTCTTGAATGCCTGCCTGATTGCGTAATGATTATTGCCATATTGTTTTTCAACAAACACCGGCTTATCTCAAACAACATACTGTATACAACAATATTAAAATGCAGGATGCGATGTATTATAGACAATGACGCAATCTTTTCTTATCATTCTGAAATATTAAAGACGACTTTCTTTATACTCAGTATGGTAATATATGGGAATTGATATATATAGGAAAAATTATCCATCCATCTCACCTCATAAATATAAAAAATATATATTTTTAAAATTATATTATTTTAATAAATTTTTATTAAAAATATTAAAATATTTTATTTTAATAACATGAATTAGATTGATTTTGATATTTTCTTGTGATAATTAAAAAGATATAATTTTATAATAATAATCTCTTAATTTTTAAAAGATAAGTGGATAAACATTAATTTTATTTATATTAGACTAATGGGTATCAGATTATATTGTAAAAAATTAAGTGAAAAAATATTCCAAACTATATCAATTATCATTTTGCTTAAGCATCACAAAAAAAGACTAAAACAACTTCATTTCTACTTTAAAAATCAAGATATTTTAATTTTTCTCAATGAAGTTTTATTAAAATAATATAATTTTGAAATTTTTTTTACTTAATTTTTCTCAATATAGACTAATATTTACTTTTTAAATATACAAACATACATACATAATTGCATTAATTTTAATATCATATAATTATATTTTGTTTAGTATTTATGAATAAGGGACTGTTTGGATAAACTCTTAGGAATTTCAATTTTTGAACATTATTCATGTTTCATGAATTTAAATTTTCCTTTTAAAAACTTATATTTTAAAATATTTTTTTAACTTTAAAAAGCTCTTAAACAGTAAAAATTTAAAAGTTTCAAATTCAAACTTTTCATAAACTCTCTTTTTACTCACTTGTCACTCACTTTTTCAAATCTCCAAAAGCAAAAGCTTAATTTTTCCTCCAGTAAAAATCTAAACTTATCACTCATAACAGTACTTAAAAAGCAAAAGCTCTCAAAAAGCAAAAGCTCTCAAAAAGCAAAAACTCTCACAAGCCACACCAAACAGACTTTAAGGTATCTTTGGATTGACTTTCAACCTCTTAAGATTAATTCTTTTTTGAATGATTTTGAAGGTACACATACACTATGTTAACTTGATGTATTCAAAAAAATTAATTTCTTTGAGTGCTTGCTCCAAAACTTTAACTTAATTTACAAAATGATACTTTTTTACCAATAAATTTAATCATTCCGGTTAAATATAGCTATGAAAATAGTATGAATCAACTTTGTTTAAAAAAAATAAAAATTCCTGTCAACTAGCATTGATTTCATGATATCAACTTAAATAACATAGGTGACCACAAAAGAATTTTATTGGAAACACAATTCAAAATGTGAAGTTGGGATATAAATCAACATTCTCATTCTTTCAATTCCTCGCCTGTGATGTCCCCTTCAAATCGTAACGTTATTAATGCCCAAAGATTAAGGAAACTTCATATAATTTCTATTTAGCTGTTCTAGAGTCCGAGCATGTCTCCTCCACGTAAATTTTCTCTCCCTTGGACAATTGCAACTTTCAGAAATATGGCCAAGAAGTCACCAACGTACCGGTTGATCGGTCGTGCCGCCAAATCCCCAGTCTTCTCCACCATCGCATTTGCTGCCATTTTGTTTTTCATGTATGCAGAGCGCCTCATGCCTAGTATATGCAGTAAGACTAGCCATGAAATTCTCCAAACTACACAGATGAGTACTACTCCAGCGATCCAAGGAGAAGGAGAAGGACAACTCTCATCGACATTGAATGACATGCCAGTGACCATAGGGACGGAGAGAAGGATTGAAGACGCAGTTGAGAATGAAGATCCTTTGATTCCTCCTTTCAAAGCTTCAATAGAAGAAAGAATGGAGTGGTTTCGAAGGAAGCTCCCTGAGCTCGAAATTCTCAAATCAAACGGGTTGAGTGAGAAGTTTCACGGGCGGATTCAGGAGCTGTTCAACAAAGACTGTTCGGCTCAGTTCTTTATGGTGTGGCTTTCTACAGCAAAATCCTTTGGAGCAAGAGAGTTCCTGGCTGTGGATAGTCTGTTCAGCACCAGCCCTAATGGATGCCTGGTGATTCTATCCAGCTCCATGGACTCCCCTAAAGGACAAGGGATCTTGAAGCCTCTCCTTGACCGTGGGTTCAACATTCTTGTCATCACACCAGACTTGCCGTTCCTGGTCAAGAACACACCAGCTGAAGCTTGGCTAGATGAACTAAAGAGTGGGAACATGGACCCTGGGTCTGTCCCACTATTCAACCATCTCTCCGATCTAATCAGGCTAGCTGTTCTGTACAAGTATGGAGGAGTTTACCTAGACACAGACTTCGTATTCCTGAAAGATCTATCAGGGTTGCAGAACACCATTGGTGCACAGAGTATTAACCAAGTGACCAAGAAATGGGCAAGATTAAATGGCGCAGTTATGATCTTTGACGCCCACCATCCACTTCTTGTGGATTTCTTGCAGGAATATGCCACGACTTTTAACGGGAACAGGTGGGGTTACAATGGACCTTACCTGGTTTCCAGAGTTCTTGAGAGGGTCAGAGACAGATCTGAATATAATGTAACTATCTTCCCACCCAATGCATTTTATCCAGTGGATTGGATCAAGATAGCCAAGCTCTTCAAGAAGCCAGAGACAGAGGCTGACGAGAAATGGGCAGAGGAGACGCTGCTTGATATAAGCAGCGAAAGCTATACTGTGCACTTGTGGAACAAAAGGAGTAGGGAATTGAAGATAGAAGAGGGAAGTGTGATGGCAAGATTGATTGCAGATCACTGCAATATTTGTGAAAATGTATATGATCCCTGAAGAAGATTTTTTCCCCCAACAAAAGCATGCATACATTAACCTTGGAACCTCCCTTAGTTTATAACACTATAGAATATTATTTTGATTGAACAAGCTCTTGTCAAAGGATTCTTTTTCTGTTCTTTTTTCCTTTTTCCTTTTAGTTTAAATATTAGAAAAAAAAGGATGAACTATTGATTATGTTAAGAAGTTGTCATGGATGTTCACAGTTCAGACCTATTTAAATCTAAATTAGTGATCCTCCTTTTTTCTTTTTTTTACTCTTTTTTTTTTTGTTAATATTTAATTGTTTCGTCTTAAGTATTGTTTCATTTGGTAATAGCTCATTCCTTTAGGCTTGGCAACAGTAATTTGGAACACACATATTAACAGAGATGGAAGTATGAATACACGGGAAAAAGGGAAATTACAGGATAGAAGCTGGTGGAGAAATGAATTCTATCTATTCTGGGCTTTAAATGAGATTTAAAATGAGGAAAGATAACTAATTAGGGCTCATATTCCAATTAATGGTAGTCAAAAAGTAGCTATCCAAGACCCAAGATGAAAGTTCTATTTCTAATTAGAAATACCAATCTCCAGTACATTAATTCCCAGCTTTCCTACCTCCTGCTAATGGGCTGTAGCAGCCTTATAGCTTTCCTACTTTCACAGCTTGTTTCAAGCGCAGTCCTTTGGACCTAGAGAATTCTCAGCTATAGATAGTCCGTTCAAAGCTGATCCTAATGGATGCGTATTCATATCATCAAGATATCTGGATTCAAGACGAGGACACAGGATTCTAAAATTGTTCCTTCATCATGAGTTTAAAGTTCCTGCAGTCACACCAGACTAACACTTTCTAGCAAAGAACACTACAGAAGCTTGGCCTAATGAGATGAAAAGTGGGAGGAGTGACTCAAGGTAAAACTCCATTATCCATTAGTCTATCCAATCTAACCAAACTTGCAATACTGAACAAGTATGGAGGAATTTAACTGGATGTAGATTCATCATTCTTAAAGATTTCACAGAGTTCAGGAATGCAATTGGGGCACCAAGCACAGAGATACAGTAATGGCAAATTTATTGTACCGATCACCCAGTCCCACATGACTTCTTAGAGAAACTTGCCACATCTTTTGATGGAAGAAAATGGGGACATAATGGGCCTAATCCAGTTGCTAAAGTAATTAGAAGTGGAAGACAAGCCTGGTCACAACATGGCAATCTTGCCACCCGATGCATTTTATCCAACGGATTGGATAAAATTTGCCAAGCTTTTCAGGAAACCAGAGATGGTGAGTGAACTAAAATGGGAGGAAGAAATGTTGCTTGAGCTAAGCACAAGGAGCTATGTGATACACCAATGGAACAACAGAACCAGAGAATTAACATTGAAGAGGGAAGTGTCACGGCAAGAATAATTTTAAATTATTGGGTAGTTTGCCAGCAGACACATAATGAACAAACCTCTCCTATTTGAGAACATATACGGAATCAATTGCTTTATCCCTTTTCAGATGTACAAAACAAAGTTATGTGATTATTTAGAATTATCAATTTTTTACCATCAGAAGCTTAAGTTTTTTCAATCCAAAGTGCTCCCAACTAGGGAAACTATATTTTCAGCTGCTATTAATACCCTATTGCAAAGACCAAATACTAATTTACCCAACAACAAAATCTAATAAATCTAATAATGCAATGCTACGACAAGAACAGATTAACCCATTCAAAAGTACTTGAGATAATAACATAAAAGGAAGCAAATTCAATTTTCGGTTTAGAACTTACAACAGTGAAGGGATTAAAAGGGTCTAATCATCGGTTTCATTCTCAGCCTTATCATCATCATCATCATCAATATCATCGAATCTGTCTTTCTTTACAGTCGACGGAGGCATCGGCACCCTCGGCGGTCCCCTCCCCTTCTTCTTGTCCCTTGGCCTCGCCTAAACAATAAATTCAATTCAAAACCAATTTTCACCACCGTGGCTCACAAACGAAATGAAAACACAAAAAAAAAAAAAAAAAAAGAGTATTCAAAACGGTTCTCACATTGCCGAAGGAGTGATTGAAACGCTTTCCCTTCGCCGTTTTGCGGTCGCCTCTGCCGCAATACACTATATGAGAGCAGTGAAAGGAACAAAATCAGTACAAATCATCATCTCAAAATCAAAGAAAAGCAGAAATTTCAGTCCGTCTTTAGATTTACCGTAGAGAGTTGATGCAGAGGGAGCGGTGGAGACTGGAAGTGGCGAAGTTGAAATTGCAAGGGGAGTGCCTAGAGATTCAGAATTGGAGAACGAAATGCGAGAGAAGGAGGAAGAAGAAGAAGAAGAAGAGGAAACACGATTAAGCGATAAAGTGACTACTGGTGCAGCTCCAACCATAACCGACGCCATGGCTAAGCAGTGAGGATAAGGTCTCGTGTGCCCCCTTCCTCCCGATTTCTGTTGATGTGTCCTCCTTCGAAAAGAACCTCGACATTTTTCTCTGTTCAAGGCCCAGTCCAGTTTAACAATTATCTTGGGCTTTAAATTCATTTACGGCTCGAGGCCCAAAGAAATGAAAGATCCAGTAAATCAGATTCAAAGTAGGGACAAAGAAGACGAGAAGCCCATTAGAATCACGGCCTTGATTAATCAGTCCTCTCTTTTTTTTGGAGTGCAGTAACTTTCCTGATACGTTCTGATATTACTGAAATCTCAAGTTACTGAAACAAGATATAGATCTAAAGCATCAAGGTCGGAACAACATGTAATTTTTGTTAAATTTGCAGCTTTCACATGTACGTAACATTATGAGTCTTAAAGTAAACTACTTCCTTAGGATAGTATCTTACTTCAATCAAATCCTTTCACAAATCACAATGCTTATATCTCAAGCATTTCACCCCATTGCCTTTTCTTTTTTTTTTTTTTTTGAACATGGAAAATTATGAAGGATGGAGGATTTTTCAAGTTATTAATGGAAATCAAATTCTCAATTAATTAAGTCTAAATAATAAGATTTGAAAACGAATCATTAAACCTGAGGATTCGGCTCACTTAATTTTATTTGTTGCTTTCTTTTTCATAAAAAAATCTTATTCATCAAGTTCTAATTAAATTTCATATCGGTATATCACCTAAACCGTGGAAAATATTTTCAATGTGGCAAAACCAATCAAGATTCCTACTCGTTTTGAATCTTTCCTGAATTTCAGCTTACTCTTTGAAATGGATCAAAATATGATTAAAATTTTATTCAGTCGCGATCAAAGTTGGATTAGGAAGTCAAAAGGTCAACATAGAGATTGTACGAACTTTTTTTTTTTTACCCATTTGAATATTTTTTTAATGGAACGTATAAGATCGCTGCGTGAGTGCATGTGCAGCAGCATGATTTAATATTAAAACCCTAAATCAAAAATGAACTAAGATAATGGGAAAAATTAATCAAATAGTTTTGATTGAACATGAGTCCATTAAGGTTCATGTATTTTCACATGAAGGAGAATGCACATATGGGAGTAAAGAAGGTCACGTGAGAAGCAGAGGCAGCAACGTGCAGCCCATGTGAACGGTAGGAGCTGGCCCACGGCCCACTTCACCCGCACCAGAATCTGATGGTGGAAGGATAGTCAAATCATGTACCTCATAAATCAAGACAATGCCCCATTCAATAACTACACAGTTTGCAGATTATTAATATATAATTATTATTTTACAGTTTAAATTATTCATCTGAATAAGTCATGGAATGAGAAAAAGAAAAAAAAAAAAACTCAATTAGTCAGGGTTAAGGAGAGGTCCATTTCATGCCGTTTCTTTTTATTTTTTAAAAGTAAAAATTACTTTGGGAACATGGACGTAATAATGAGATGGAAATTTTTTAAACATTAGACTATATTATCTGATTTAATTAGGGCCTGTGCTTTTCATAGCAAAGGAATCATCACAATTCAAACACACTATTTTTATCAACTAAATTTAAAGAAAGCAAAAGAGGAGAAAAAAAAAAAATTAAAAGAAGGCAAAATACAGCACACACCACATGTAGGGGAAATATTGCTATGTCCCCATGTATGATACAAAATATGGAGTGAAACAGATACTTCATTTTTTTTTTTTCCCTTTTTTTTTTCTGTTCTTTACTTCATCAGATGTTCAGTCAGCTCAATGGTGTGGCGCCGGTGCTGTTCCGGCAGGTGGTGTCAGCGGCTTGCACTGATAGCACTTGGCAAAGAGACCAAACGTGTCGATTTGCCTGATGAAGTTGGTCATGCTAGCCCATCCTCCAAACCCAAATCCGACCACCAACACCCAAATCACCACAAAAGAGTTGAATACAAACATTGCAGTCCAACTTGGCAAGAAGAACGGAGGCTTCTCAGCAGCATTCTGCAATACATGAAAATCATACGCATAAACCTTCAAGTAAATTACTAAAATGATGTCGCAATGTTAGCGTCACTCTCTTTTACATGCTTATCGTATTAATTTTTATATAATTTTTAAAACTAAATACATGTCACGCGTGACCCAATCACATACTATAGCTAACATGTCTTAGCAAGTCAAGTCAGCCAGTTCATACTAGACAGCCTGTGACTGTAGTATGTAACTAAGAGAAAGCGACATCCCAACCGTCCCAATAAAATTCTTCTAGTAATGTTTTGTTGCCAAATTCTAGTCTAAAATGCTACTGTGCGTCCAGGACCAAACACGTAATGTTTACAGAGACCAAATTATCCCTAGAGGATTTTGGTTTTTACCTGGCGAGCCGAGGCTTTTCTGAAAGTGAGTATATGGGCCAAGGCGGGGATGATGTAGACGGTGAAGCTGACGAGAAGGGCACCGACGGCAGAGTTGATGGGGCCGAAGAAGGGGAAAATTATGGCCAAGAACCAGATCGGAATTACTACGGGCAATCTGGCCAGTGCTCTCAAACATATGCTCCTGGTGTCGTGCATTCCTATTACCTTTTCCCACACGAAGTACAGAGGAGTACAGGCGAACCCAAATGTAATAAACTGTATCAATTGCACAGTGGAGTACAAAAACACTGTCAGCTTTTTACTGCTAAAAGGATCATTAATGTTAGTAATCATTAATTAATTATTGAGATTAGAGTGAAAGAATTAATTAGGGAAGGAATAATTAGAGTTTGACCTGGTGGATGAGCATTAAGATGACAGCGGCGTCGCGGAAGCCAGTTTTGGGGAGGAGAGCGAAGGCGTTGGAGTGGGTGAGTAGCTGGTCTCCGAAAGCCCAGTAGACGGCAGAGGCGGAGGGGATGGTAAGTGTAAAAACGTACAATGTAGCAAGCAAGTATATGTATTTGAATTTCTGGGGTTTCCACATAGCATGCATAATTTCCCTGGAAAAAAAGCCAAACTAATTAATTAAAATCTTGATTTCCAGAAGAAATTACAATTTGACTATTTATTTTTGTTTTTTTTTTACTGAGGAAATAATGCAAGGGAAACGGACAAAAAGGTGGTCCAGGATTAAGGTGATCGGTAGGATCAAATTGACAGAGGAAAACAATTTGGGAACAGAACAGAAGACTGTTATGCAACTTCTGTTGAATTTTCCTAGAAAGACGGAGGAAGTGGTGGGTTGATCTGATGTTTTATCTAAAACGAGCAAAACTAAAGTAGTTAGCATGATGTTGTCTGGGTCTCGATCCCCTAGATGGCCGGCAAAAGCTGCAAAGAGAACGAGTAGAAACAGGGCCGGAAGAAAACAGAGGAAAAAGAGTGGTAATAATGTGATTAGGATAAAAGGAAAAGCTTACACAGTGACGGCATGACCACCGAAGGTGTAGAGGATGTTTGTGGCTCCGGTGAAGTACAACACCAACTTCGTCGGACCACTGTGTTTCACGCCCTCAGCCTGGACAACCGCAAACAACCTTAATTACCTCCAAAATATGTTTCTTAGAAAAAAAAAAAAAAAAGAAAAGGAAAAGGAAAAGAAAGAGGCATTGAAAATTGAAATGTTTCTGTTTTAGACCTGGCCGTGAACAAAGGCAGCGATGGCCAAGTACCAAGCCGTATAAGTGGTCATCCCAAGGCCTAGGAAAGACCAAATCCGGTAGTTGTGGAAGGAGGGAATGAAGACGGTGGTGGCGCAGCAAGCACCGAAAATATAGGTCCATGTCCTCTTGTCCAAATGATCGTTGATGTAGTAAATATTACTGTTAACAAAATTGGACGAAAAAGCCAGTTTCAGATTTTGCTGAAATTAAGGTTAGGACATGAGGAAAGATGTAAAGGAGACATCTTTACCTTGCACAGGCTATGAGTTGGATGACAGATCCAAATAGAAGGAAAGTGCAGTTGAAAGCGAGACCAATTGCCTTCCAGTATGGACCAAGCAACCCATCAAGAACTTCAAACCACTGCAGAATAAAAGAAGATTAGATTCCTGTGCTGGTGATGCAGGCGGTGGTGGTTGGGGGAGATTAGAACGGACCTGAATCACGTGGTTCTTGAAGCTGACGTTTTCCTTCTCCTTGCGGCTTCTGTACTCAATATAGAGAACACTGATGAGGTAGGCGGTCCAGCTTCCCATCAAGCCATAGAAGATCTGCAGGATGATTCCTGAAAGCATACCCAGCTGGGAAAAAGAGTAGGGGAGTGTTAAGAGCACTTGCGCCACTTGGTTGGAAGCGCAGCTGAACCAGGCATCCCAGGCGGAGCCACCGTGCCAGAGGAGGCTCTTGACACTGAACATTGACTGGTTTTCTTCCCCCTTCTCAGCATCCTCCTTGGGCTCATGTTCTGTTTCGCTGAAGTTGGAGACTATAGCTTCCTCTGCTTGCTTCTGAGGCAACATTGTGTTGGCTTCTAACGACTAAATCCTGGTAGATCTGAAATATATAAAAGACAGTAAATGAGACAAAAATTATTATCAAAACGGAACCCCAGGAAAACGAAAGCCATCATGCAAGTACCCCAGGTCCAAACAGAAGGAATTTCTTCCAAAACTTAGAAAAAGATAAACAAAAGCTTACATAGAAATCCTAAAACAAAAAAAAAAGAAACAAAAGAGAAGTCAAGCGAGTTTGGACCAAAAAGAAGAGTTCTCTAATTAAACATATTTTTCACAAGCAAACCTAAAAATCCCACTTCCAAACATACCTTGTTTCTGAGAGGTCTTTTTCTTGCAAAAGATTGAAGAAACCCCCAAAAACAAAATGGGTATGATCTTAAAAACCCCTTCTTTGCTTGAGTCGATCAATCTCTCTTTTTTAATTATTGAGAACTGGGGAAGTGTGATTACAGCAGTAAATATGGAAAAGCAGAGTTTAAGAAATCTGGATTCAAAGATTTGGCAGGGTGGCTTTAAATGCCCTGAAATAATTGTGAGAAAATCTCGAAGGACAAATGAATCTCTTCTACCTTCCTTTGTTTTCCTCTGTTCACCTCAGCTCCCAACTTTAATGCGCCACCAAGTTCCTCAGAAGAGCACTTAAAGACGGCGAGACCTTAAAAAGCAGCAGACTCTGCCCCGGCCTTCAATTAAGAAAGAGACACCCTTTTCACTCCTATTCAACTAAGCACGCTAATATACTACTACTACACTACTAATAATGCTCTTATCCTATCCCCTCAAAGAAGAGAGACCTTGAAAGTGACTAAACCCCAAATTCCCTGTGTATTCCACTTCTGATTCGATTCTTGGGTCTGTGCCCAAAAAAAAGAAAAAGGTAGGTTTGAGAAATTAGAGATGTAGGAGGGGACGGAACCAAACCATGCCCTTGCTTTTTATAGCCCAAGAAGTCCTCTAAAATTGACTGCCCCGGAAAAATACTGAAGTCCTCTAAAATTGACTGCCCCGGACAATACTACAGTATGTTATGACGAAACAGAGTGTCATGACAAAAAAGAACATAATTCTATTT